TCACTGGCTGAGTGAGGTGCGGGCACAACACCGAGGGTTGCGATCCCGTTGCCGGTCCGGTCCGGTACGGGCGCAACACTGAGGGTTGCGATCCGTTGCCGGAGACGAAAAAAGACAAAAAAAAAAAAAAAAAAAAAAAAAAAAAAATCTCAGGGTTAATTTACTCATATGTACATTTATAGCCACTAAGATGCTTGGGGTTCAAAAATTGGACTACTGCATTCTTCAACTCATCAATTTGGCCAAATATTTTTTACCTGTGTCAACCACTGAATCTAAGTAAAGAAAAGAAGAATGTTGTGGTTATTGTTCAGATTTTTATCAAGCTTGTGTTTAATTACTCAGTATATACACTGAGGAAAGACCATGTGATCACAGAGTAAGAAGGTGCCCATCTGCAAGCCAGGAAGAGAGCCCTCACCAAAAATCAAATTGGCTGGCATCTTAACCATAGCCACCAGAACTGTGAGAAAATGAATTCCATTGTTTAAGCCACCCAGTTTATAATATTTTGTCATGGCAGCCCTCACTAACAAGACACTAACAATGCTGGAGAAAGTCACATTTGTCTCATCATAAATTCATGATCCCCAGTCTCAAATGGGACCTCAAATGCTGACCAGGTGTACTAGTCTGTTTCTGTTGCTTATAACAAAATATTTGGAACTGGGTAATTTATAAAGAAAATGAAATTTATTTGCTTACAATTTATTGCTTTGGCTGGGAAGTCCAAAGTCCAGGAAACACATCTGGTGAGGGTCTTGGTGGTGGCAACAGTGGCCCAGGGGTCTCACACTGTGAGATGACAGAAGCAGAGAGAGCAAGAGACCAACCTTTTGGTCTCCTCTTAAAGCCCTCAGAAACACGCCTCTGACCACCATTATTGATCCATTCACTACAGCATGGTCCTACAACCTAATCACCTCTTGGAGGCCCCACCTTTGAATTACTATAATAGGATCTCCCACCCTCAACATTTAGTGTGGGAATTAAGTTTCCAATACGTGAACCTTGGGGGACACAATTCAATCAATCCATAGCACCAGGAGTCCTATCAAGTTTCATTACTCAACTTAATCTATAAGAAGGATTACTTGAATCCTTCAGCAGGTGATGTTGCCTTCTATTCTGCAGAGAAAAAGAAGCCATCAGATGGGAACTTCCTTGACTTATTAATAATGAAAGTTCAAAACTACCTAAATCTGTACTCATACTCCAACCTTCTCTCTGTTACAACTGAGAATTGGTACCTTTAACAAAAGCTCAATTCATCCATCTGTGCCGTGGATCCCCTCCCTTTTCTGCAACCTCACTTCTAATAATTTACTCTCTTGTGTTACTAACCTTTCCCTCCCAGTGGATTCATTCCATCAGCTTTAAAATGTGCTCAGGTCACTTCCATGAAAAGTAACAAAACAACAGCAATAAAAACACTAACATCTCTCTATTCGATATTCCGCCATTCCTCCACTCTCTTTTTCTCTCCTTAATAATTTTTAAGAGTCATGTGATCTTCACTTCCCACAGACTCTTTTACTCCAATTTGGCTTTTACCCTCATTGTTCTACTGATACAGTGCTTACTGATCTGTAGGAGTACTTTCTACATAAAGGAAAGTAGCTCTTTGTCCGTGATACAAGTTTCAAAAATGTTTTCTCAACCTGTCATTTTGCTTTGATTTTGTTTAGAGCAATATTTGATTCGTGGTTTTTAAAAAATTTTGTATCATCAATTTTTCCAATCTTTTCTATATGGCGCTGGGTTTGTGGCATGCTTCTTAGAAAGACCACATCTTTGAGACTAAAATAAACTATGGTTTGGTAATCTCTCTGGTTTATAGCATTTTATATTTTAGGACATTTTATATATTACATTTGTAATTTTGTCTATTTTGATGCAGGGTAGGAGAAGGTTGGGAAAATGGTAAATGAGTATGGTCTGCCCATTCAGTTCTACAGAATTCTTATGGGTTAAATTAGGCATCTACTGTTTTCATGATTTTTATTGTGTATCTTTTTACCTCTTTGAATAACCTTTGTGCAAATACTCAGATAAGTAAAATAAAGAATTGAAATAGGTGCCAAAAGAAGTTCAAACAGTAGTGTAAAAACTCATGAAGTTCTATAGTAGTATTATACTTTGCACTGTATGTAATTTATTAGTAATCTCCAGATTAGTAATCTCAAGAAATAAAGAGCCTCAAGAGATACTGCTGAGGAAAAGCGAGAAAAAGCCTTAACAAGTAAGGCCCCCATGTGGCAGTTTAATGACACACTGTATATGCAAAAAAAAAAAAAAAAAAAAAAAAATTGCTTGTCTTAGGGCAAAATATTATTAAGCAAGTACTGATATGTCAACTGAATCCCCCTAAAAGTAGCATTTGAAAAATAACATTACCTAATCATTTAAGATGGAGTTTACTAAGTCTTCAACCATAAATATAACTTCACAGTACAAATAAAATGAAAATGTCCTGGAGATTAGAAAGCCAATTTTAAGAATAATAACATCTCACTTTTCTCCTTCTGACATGACCACTCACTTTTGTCTTCTTGATAAATGCCTCAGAGGCTTGTGTGTTCTCTCTGTCCCTCAGGACATACCAAACATAGGTATTTAGAAATTTTCTTGATAACTAATGGCTTTTCACTTTTTTCCCTATGCAGTTTTAATCTGTGGTTAAGCAATAGCAACAATATCAATTCGAGTAGTACCAGAGTACTTCAAAAGGTTCATAGAAAAACAGAATTAAGAGATAATATAAATTTTGGCCAGCCCAGTGGCACACTGCTACAGTGCGCCGCTTGGGAGTGTGGCGGCGCTCCCGCCGAGGGTTCAGATCCCACATACAGACCGGCCGCTTGCTGGCTGAGTGGGGTGCAGTCGCAACACCGAGGGTTGCGATTCCGTTGCCAGTCCCGGTCCGGTACGGGCGCGACACTGAGGGTTGCGATCCGTTGCCGGTCACGAAAAAAGACAAAAAGGAAAAAAAAAAAAAAAAAGAGATAATATAAATTTTAACATGAACTTTTTGAAATACTCTCGTATTTGTCATTGGCAGTAAAAATATTTTGCTGAGACTGTCTGCAAAGCCAGTGTGTCTGTTTCCTGATGACTACTTCTGAATTCATAATATTGGGCTACCAAGAAGAGACAAGTTAGGTTGTAGCCTCTCGTGGGGAAGCCTCCTTACACGCCTTTGCTACATCACAGTAAAGCAGACTGGAGATGTTCAGCAACAAGGGCACTGGCTATCCACAAACATTCGCATGTGGAAAACTCCCCTGCTTTCATCAATGTGAAAGATAAAGTTAAAAGTCCGTCTACATTATTTTCTCATAATTTTAATGTGTGAATATGTATTGCGGTAAGTTAAACAGGTATTTTTTTTCCTACATAGATTTTTATTCTATGATTACACTTAGTAGCTGATGATTTTAAATACAGATTTTTAAATTTTGAAAACCTCAGAAATTACACAAAGCTCTGCTTTATTACACAAAACTCTGTTTTAAAAGCATTCATACATAGCGCCTCCTGTATTACTGTGCACAAAACATATTAAGTACAGAGATGTTTACACTAACTATATATTCTATAACATTCTTCGACAGAAACTTCAAAACCAGAAGTGGAAGTTATATGGATTTTGGAGCCACCAAATATGACTTCAAATTAAATTAAAAGAACATTTAATGACAACCTGTTTTATGCGCAGCACCGTGCTAGGTCCCACAGGGATAGTAGTCCTTAAGGATTTCAACTAAAATCTGGGTATGTCGGCGCCAAGGCAGGTGAACAGCAGGCTTAGGTGAGTGCCAGAGGGCTTGGGCCAAAGTCGGGACCCTGGAGCTGTGGTGACGGAGCTCTGGAAAGTGGTCGCTTGAGAACACGCGCGCTGTCGAGGGCGGCGATCTAGGCCTCTCTCAAGGCGATCTCGGCCAAGGCTGAACTACCCCTAGGCCCATCCCTTGTCCCCCCAATTCCGGTGTCACTGCCCAGGACGCTCTCACCGCTCTCGTTCTTGTGGGGGCAGTCAGTCCCGGTCGCAGGCTGTGCTAGAGGCTAAGCTGAGAGCGACGTGGCGTGGAGGGTCAAGAAATCCCACCATCAGATGCCCCAAGAAGGATATTCTACGTGCAATTTCCCTTTTCGGGCCATGTGTCGCTGTTTATTAGTCCCGGGGAAGGCGTTAGGACTGAAGGAACCCCCCACCCTTCTTGATAGTCAAGACCAGGTCTGGTGCGGGAGGGAGCCGGTGCCGCTGCATTCTCGGCACTCGAACTACTGAAACCACAGGACTAAGGATCAGCCATTAGAGCCTGGCTCCAGGCAAGGGACGGTCATCGGCCACCGGAACTCTGAGGCCCTGCATCCCACAATCCCCGCGCAAAAAGGGGCGCAGCTCCCCCGCGTGCAGCCTGGCTGCGGCACGCGAGCCGCGAGCGCGAGCCCGGCGTCTTGACAGCTGCCCACGCGTCGGGGCGGTGCTCGAGCACGTTGCTTTACAGGTCCGCGAGCCAGCCCCTCCCTCCGCGCGCCGCGATTGGCTCCAGCTGGTGCAGCGTTGATCCGATAGGTGCAGGAAGGGCGGGGCTGCGCGCGCGAAGTCGGGGCTTCACCGCAGCGGCCCCGGCTGGGGCGCGGGTGGCTGCAGAGCGTGGGTGGTTGGGGGTGCGAGGCGGCTGGGGACGTCCGGCGGGAAGTAGGGGAGCTCCCTACGCCGGCCCTCACGTTCCGCCTGGCGGCCGGCGGCGCGCGCGAGGGCGGAGGTGGTGCGTACGTGTGGGTGCGCGCGCGCGTGTGCGGAGCTTGGGTGCCCAGCGCGAGCTGTGAGCCCCCGGCTGCGAGTCTCCCGCTGTCTTCCACACCGTCTCAGCTCCTTCCCCGCATCCCTCCCGCGCCTCCCACAGTCGCGTACCGAGCCAGAACCCCGGGAAGCAGGTGTGGGGGGCGTGCGGGGTCGCACGAGACAAAGGGGGTGCGGGGGTCAGTCCGCCATGGCCTCTCGGGGCCTGGGGGGCCTCAGCGGGAGCCGCGGCGGTGGCAGCAGCGCCAAGAAGAGCCTGAGCGCCCGCATGCAGGAAGGGCGGGGCTGCGCGCGCGAAGTCGGGGCTTCACCGCAGCGGCCCCGGCTGGGGCGCGGGTGGCTGCAGAGCGTGGGTGGTTGGGGGTGCGAGGCGGCTGGGGACGTCCGGCGGGAAGTAGGGGAGCTCCCTACGCCGGCCCTCACGTTCCGCCTGGCGGCCGGCGGCGCGCGCGAGGGCGGAGGTGGTGCGTACGTGTGGGTGCGCGCGCGCGTGTGCGGAGCTTGGGTGCCCAGCGCGAGCTGTGAGCCCCCGGCTGCGAGTCTCCCGCTGTCTTCCAC